TAAATACTCAAATATATCAATTATTTTTCGAACATATCTACGATTGCTATTAGTGGGGACCGAAAAAATGTTCAATAACATAAACTACTATTGGATATAAATAAATAAAATTTTATGCCGTCATCAACAACATCCAATAGAATCTAAAAATGCTTCGCTCGAGTCAGACTCGAGCGTGGACATTTTAGAAAGTATTGATGACGTGTTGCTCGAGTGACACTCGAGCGTGGATCTTACGTCACGTATTTGTTGCTCGAGTCAGACTCGAGCGCGGCTCAAAAGGGGCTAGAATCGGTTAATTTTATAGAAGAAAACCTTTCAAACAGCCTTAGTTTTTAAACTTCACATGTATCGGGCTGTGATTGGTTCATGTATTCAAGGATTCCTACAACATAAAATTCTTATAAAGTGGAACATATCTAAGCGTTCTAAGGGGGTCTACTGTACAATACATATATACTTGTCATATTTACAATTTGGCAATGTTTACAGTACAGTACATCGTGGACTCTTTATTTGTGAATGTGATTTTCTCTAAGACATTATAAAATAAGATGATTTTGTAAGGTTAAATAACAAATACAGTTATTAAAATTATTTTGCGATAGTAAAAAATAAACTAATTTATGTTACATTTACCAATAACGAGTCGCGCTGACAACGATGCCAAACAATAGATATTGGAACTACCATGGAAAATGCCAATATTAAGCTCTTAAAGACTGCTAAATAAGATGACAACACAAAGTCACAGATGTTTTCATATTTTGTTCTCTATGATTTATGATAATTATATTAACATTTACTGTAAATGTATGTATTTTAATATGCTATTATGTGCTTTTAACACTTTTCTAGTTATATTACAATTTCAATATTTGTGGTGGACAGACATAAAGTCGAATAAAATGACTTAAACTTGATTTTTATTTTTCCATATATTTTTTGAGAAATGACATATAATTGAGAATGACGTAACTCGAGGTATACCTGTATTTAAGGTTCTCACAGGTTCAAAATTTCTGGAAAATTTGGAAATTTCAAAAATTATTTTTTATCCAAATAATTTATACGAAATAATTTTATAGGAAATTTTGCTTAAGTCAAGAAAGGGTGCTGAAGTTTTATCCAAATTAGGAAAATTTGAGATTATGAAGTATTAGGTTGATCTTGGAAACCATGGAGAAATCCAGGAGATATGCTATGTTGTTGTTGATTTTTCTTATTGACCATTATTTTGTCTAACTTTGTTCTTGGACAAAATAATTACTTCTTTTTGTATGCCAATATCAAAATAGTTTAGAAGGGTTGCACAAAGGATGCTATGATATTTATCAATTTAACTGTTTGGTTATGGTTTTGATTTTTGAATTTTACTTTATTAATTTTAAAATATATTTATTTTTATGCTTATTGTAAACAGTTTAAGCAATGGCAATGGCTCTGTGTTATAATCTGGTTAAAAAAACTAAAAGTAACATATGCTTATTTGAGGGGGTTGACAATTGTGATTTTTTGTAAATGTTTCCAAATGTGGTTGTTGTTGTCTATGGTTTTGGATCTTTTTTTGCAGTGAAATGGATCAATTTTTGTACTATAGTTTGGATTCTTTATCTAATATTTAAATCAGATGATCTAAACAGGGT